AATCAGATACGGCTCAATTCCTTCTCCCTTGTAGACTGATGGAGCCAGCAAGTGTCAACTAGGAGAGGGTGGGTGGGATGCATGCATTGCCCACCTCTGCTCTGGACCAACTACGGCCCGCGGACCACATGCAGCCCGCGGGACCGTCCTTCCTGGCCCCCAAGCTCCTAGCCCAGGAGACTAGCCTCCAGCCCCTCCCCTGCTGTCTCCTCTCCCCCGCAGCCTCAGCTCGCTCCACCGCAATGCTCTGGGCGTGGGGCTGTGAATTCCTGGGGCAGCACAGCTGTAGAGCCAGGCCTGACCCGGTGCCTGAGCTGCGTGGTGGCAGCGGCAGCATGGCCCGGCTCCAGCCAGGCGGCGTGGCTGTAGTGCTGCCAGTCACCAGTGCTCCAGGAGATGTGGTAACGGGGCAGGGGAGTTCAGGGTGCTGGTCAGGGGTGGTGGTGTGGATAGGGGTTGGGGCAGGAACAGGGAGTTGAATGGGGGCAGAGGTCCCTGGGGGGCAGGAGTTCTGGGGGCAGTCAGGGGACAGGGAGAAGGGGTGGTTGGATAGGGCAGGGGTCCCGGGGGGGGGGCATCAGGAATGAGAGGAGGGGTTGGATGGGGCAGCAGGGGGGGATCAGGGGCAGGGCTCCAGAAGCAGTCAGGGGACAGGGGTGTGTGGATGGGGCAGGGGTCCTGGGGGAGGGGCAGATAGGAGGTGGGGGCCAGGCCATGACCCCCTCCCCTAACTGGCCCCCCATACAATTTCCAAAACTCCATGCAGCCCTCAGGCCAAAAAGTTTGCCCACCCTGGTCCAGAGACTCTAGCATAGGGATAATCCCACTATGAAGAGTCAAATGGTGGAGGGGGACTCCATAGCATCAGGTACCATTAGTCCCTTAATTAGTCATATCTAAGCTGAGGACAGATCACAGACTTTCAGGAGCCACTGTCTGGGCTAGCCTCCCTGTGTTGAGGAGATGCTCCATCTGGAGCCTGTAACTTGGCAGATGAGAAGGTAGGGTCCAGTTCAACTGTTGGTACTGGCGGACAAATACTATGGCTAGGTGGGCTAGAGGAGTATTCCTGTCTCCTCAAGTTTTCTTTCACTGGAGTTGTAATGTCTCTGAGTAGGGTCAGACCTGAAAGGAGAGGAGACTGTGGATAAGGTACTCCAAACCTGAATATGTATTTCCAGTGTTTTCTAGTAAAATATTCTGAATATTTCTAAATATCTAAAATTCTAGTATACATAATTACTTAAGAAATATTTGTGAAATACCTGCTATAATAGCAGTGAATGGTTCTGCCCTAACTCAATGGAAGCTACCATTCCCAGGAATTAGGATGAGAGTGAGACTCATTCTGCAGAAATGACTGGAGAAAGCACCAGACTTTGAATATTAAATATTTCAAATAGGTTAAATGTAAACAGCTGTGTAAATTAACTTATTGGCAGTTGGGGGCCAGAAAGCATCTGTGGTCCTCCTTCCAATGCCCTTCCCCAAATATCTGTGCTCCTTCAGACTTACTTGCATCCTTCATTCCTGTTATATCCCTAAATGCTTAGCACTGGTCTCCAAGGAATTTTGCTGCGTATTTCAATGAGACACTGAAAATCACAGTAATTTAAAAAAATAATCTCCCTAATTCAATCAGTCACAATTTGATGGCTGTTAATTACATTCTCACATTTAGTTTAAATGCAGCACTGATTACAATTTTTAAAATTGCACCTATAGAGCAGCTCTCTTGCAATCTTACTAACAAATTTAGGTTTTTAACCCTTTATTGTCCCTGACAACAAATTAAATTTTGAAACATTTACTGCAAAAATTAATGATTCTTCAAAATAAAAAGTTCTGAAATAGCTTAGAGACCCACTGTGCCTTTCAATAGTTAGCCTTAGCATGAGTTTAAAATGAGATTCTTCTGCATTTAATGTATCTGAATAATATTTCAGTAATTCACTTGCTTTACATTTCAGGATTTTAAAAGATTGTAAGGCAATAAATATTAAAAGCCACTGTCATTCCCAACCTGCTCTCAAACACAGTTCACATACTGTGTAATCCAAATATGCCCCCTTGCTGGGATTTGGATAAACTAACAGAAAAACTTAATTTTGATAACATTCAGCAAAAACCAACTCCCGAGACTTGGCTGGTCTTAAGGTTCTTCCTTCTGTACTATTCATAGGTTTGATCCCCTCTCTAAAGAGCCCCTCCTGCATGTCTTACGTCTTATGCCAAACAACCTGCTTCAGCAGAACACATTTTACATGTTGATCCTATTGATGAGTGAGCTGTTTTAAACAAAAGTTACCAGCCTATTTGCAAACACTTATTTTTCGTTCACCGCAACTTAAACATAATGGAAAAATTTTTCAAAGGCACAAATGGGAGTTTAGTGTTGAACCCCCAGTGACTTTCAACAGGAGTTGGGCACCTACCTTGCCCATTGCACCTCTGATCATCTCCCATGATAAAGAATTGTCTATAAACATTTAAATGACTAAATAACCTTTCTGCAAAAATAGGCAATAAAAATGGTAAATTAAAACCTAAATAGATATGTGTGGGGGAGGAAAATATATTAAAATCCAGCTTTCCAGAAGCAGTTTAGTAATTAAACTAGACCCTGAATTCCTTAAAAGTTGTCATCTACTTCAATGGGCCGAACTCTCCTCTCCTCACTCAGAAAAAGTCTCATGAGCGTCAACGGGACTGGTATAAGTAAGGTAAGTAGGATCTAATTGTATATGGACAATGAATACTGTGTTTCTTATTTGCAGTGTTGTTGTAACTGTGCTGATCCCATGATAGGGAGACAAGATAGGTGAGGTAATATCTTTTATTCGACCAACGTCTGTTGGTGAAAGAGACAAGCTTTTGGGCTACAAAGAATTCTTCTTCAGGTCAATTATAGTCTTCTTAGTCAATTTATATTTACCATGTTTATTAAAATTAATTAGCAACATCCTGTTATATTACATGTACAATGCCAAGAAATTACAAATAGTGCCATTTTATGATGGCTCTTTGCATGTAAAATCAAAGACTAACACAATAAACAATTTAAATTCACTTAATCTATTTAAAATATTATAGTCAGACTAGAATCACAAAACAATTGTGACTATTTTACACGATCACAAATTAAAAAAATAATCTGTTAAATTTCAGTCCATTGGACTATGTTTCATGAAAGTTAACAAAATGAAAAATCATATTCAGTATTAAGCATCACTAATCAATGTTCCATGTCAAATACATCATTCAGTCCAATCATTTTCACAAATTTGGAGATTACATTGTTCGAGAGAGGCATCAGCTAAGTCTTACTTAATCCAAAATTCAGATTTTTAAAATATGAAAAAAGGGGAGGAAAACAAGACTTAATATCAACTGACCTCAAACAGATATCTTGAGAGCCAGAAAGGGAAACTGACTAGAAGCAAACACGAAATTTTATAAAATGGTTTACTGTCAAATTGAGTGAAATACATAAAATAAAGCTGTATAAATTGAGACATGTAAGTTTAAACTTCTTGATTATGAAAGCTGAAGGATCTGTAAAGTGTTAAACAGAAAAAGATAATTTTATGCTGATGCTATCCCATTATGCTCATGATAAAAATCTTAACCCTAACCACAAAAAATATATTTTTTCTGTTTAATTTTTAAGATGAGACAAGACTGTTAGTGTTCTGAAAACAAAAAGTTTATGAAGTGTATTAGTGTCTGTTGATGTATACAGTGAATTTTTAAAAGAAAAAAAAAGAGGAACATATTTAAATATAGAAACTCTAAAGACTGACAGTCATGAAGTAAACAGGGAACATACAATCTTGGACAGATTTTCCACATTAAAAACAAAAGAAGAAATGGGCAAAGAGAAAAACGTAAAACAGGAACATCCAGCATTGACATTGATTTGATAAACTAAGACTTCTGTCTGAATTATGTCGCAACCTAAATTGCAAAAATAAGGGCATTATACCATTTTCAATTATACATAGTGCCTTTGTGAAACCAAAAGCAGAATATTAATATTATATGTAATATATATGTAAATAAATAGGGCCATTTCTAAATTTACAAGCAGGCATTATATTGGGCCTAATCCTGCAAGCACTTTTGCATGTGCATAATTTTACTCACACGAGGAGTCCCACTGAAGCGAAGCTTTGGAAGGGAAGGACTCAGCAATGAGGTCAATGGAACTACTCACATGAGTAAAGTTTTGTATGTGCATAAGAGTTTGCTGCATCATACCCATGGTCTTAAATTATACATGATATATCTTGTCCTCTTTTACCAGTTTATATACAAAAATTGGATTGTTAGAAGAATACATTTTTAAATAATTATTAAAATATATTTGACTTTGAAAGCAGAGACAACAGATCATCTGATTACATCCTGGGAAATACATCAAATCTTGAGTATGTACAAATGGGATGATAAAAATAGGTTTGGAAATGAATGTTTTGATTATCTAGGAATTCCAAACAATGTCATACCTGAACTATAATTCTCTAACCGGAGTTTGTTAGCCACAGGATCCTAAAACAAGCCAAACTGAACAACAGAAATGAACAAATTTAAAGTACAAATGGCTTTAATGTCTTGAGGCACCTAGGGCCAGCAGGTTTCATTCTCCAGTTATCTGATCAGTTCTCCTACTGTTGGCAGTTCATCCAAAACTCTCATGACTTGGGGAAAAACTCCAGATTAAATACAATAGTTTTTCAAACAAATGATTTTGTAAAACCCTGAAAAGCAAATTTTTCTAGTAACTCCAATCAGGAAGAAAAGGAGTAATACTTTGAACATTTCTCTCTCTCCAAAAAAACCTATGCAAAGGTTCTTCAGACTGGAAGCAGATGCTGAATCCTTATCTTCCAAAACTTAAGTAGTAGCATACTACATTAGAGCATTTTAAATTACCACCCAAAGCGGAGTGGGAAAGCCCTGCATAAGATAGTGTGTTCTCTTAGGAGATCTGTTAAGAGCATTAATTGTAATTGCTCTTTATTTTTCACATTTGTAATTGCAATAAATCCCTCCCCAAAATGTGATCATGCAAGATGCTGAGAATCCTCAATTTATTCTGATAATAAATGTGAGTTATTTGATCTTGTAAGGTGCTGAGAGTTCTCATCGGACTCTGTAGCCAGGTCTATAGTTCTACTGGAAAACCTGGTAGAGAGACAGCTCAAACAATGCCGAGAGTTATTACAGTATAATAGGTCATCACAATACTGCTTTAGACAATGTCATTTGATACTATATATAAGCAATGTTATTTAAAATCTTTCTTATATGCAAGCTGACTATGATTCTTCAAAGGGCAATGTAAATAGTTTAGAGTTTATATTCATTTTCAAGGAATTTCCTATGCGTCAATCTAGCAAAAAAGTTCTGGACGACAGCGCTTTCTTGCTATGCAGTGTTTATATTTATTTTGGCTTTTTGAAATAGGACCAAGCTTATCCCTGTTTGGGAGGGGGTTATAGAAAGGACATGTTACAACTGTGAGCCTGCAAGACGGGGTGGGTTGGGGGATACTTTTGTGATAATTTAAGGATCCTTTCAGTTTTTGGGCTAGAAAAGATCAGCCTTAAGGCAGTCAGAGATGGAGAAATAAATGGACTTAGTGTAACAAACATTGCTGCTGGAATGTAACTCTATGATACGTAAATGACAAGAATATAATTAGTTGAAATGAAAGGTGGAAGTGAAATTCGTCAATTTTTAAAATACATACTGTACTGGACTAGGGAAGACTAATGTATGCTTGGAAGGGGAAACTTGTTTGAAAGAAGAGAAACATAGGGATGATGTTTTTGTAATTTTTCTGTCGTGAATAATTTTTAAATAATTTGTACATTTTAGTGGTTCAGAAAAGGTCAGGAGATTTTAAAAGATGCCATTTTCCCTATAAGAAAAGTAATTTGTAGAACTAATGTTTTACTGAGTTAGAAAGGGGCTTAACCCATTTAAGAGATTAGATAGTCACTAAAACAGTCAACATAAAAACAAAACTACATAAACTTTTAGCTATTTATTTCTCTCACTAAAATGTCACCATTCCTGAACCCACAAACATCTGCCTTCTTCATAGGCGCTAAACCTTACTATTCTAGTTTTGAATAATATTAATCTTGCTAAAATTTTATTTAACAAAAATATGGCTGGATTTTTTGTTGTTGTTGTCACCTCCATTTTATAGTTTATTACCCATACCCTTTCTGAAAACTTGGCAGAGGTAAAGAGAGTGAGATCAGATGACAAATTCCAATCAACATTGTTATTAGCAGCACAGCTTATAGTCAGTCAGATCATTCAGTTTGCCCATGCTATTGTATACGAGTGAATAATATACTTAATTTATGCACTTTACAACAAATTAGAAAGGTGTGCATACTCAGATATATATATAAAATAGGAGACTGTCATAGTGAAGAATTTCTAATCTGTCACTTCAATTAAAGTGAAGGGACAAACTGGAGAGGAATGAAGAGGTTGCAGTTAAATGTGAGAGCTATAAGCACAAGTTTAGCAGCTTCTGACTGTCAGTTCATGAGCTTTTTGGGCACTGACTAAAGCTTTGTTTTTATTATCTCAAAACTTTAGACTCTCAATAAATATATTTGTGTGCTACAGTGCTGAACATCCCAACTGTTTGTTATTGCATTACAGTGATTTTAAACAATGTAACAGCAAACATTTGCACAAACAGCACTGTACATATGACTAATACATAAATATTTTCTGTCTTTTTGTAATAACCATGCAACACACAGGGCATTTATCAACTGCTTCAGCACATTCTTTACAAGCAACCAGATGGCCACAGGGAATAAAAACAACTGAGATGTCTTTATCCATACAGATTTTACACATCTTTTCCTCCTGTAAACGTTTTAACTTCTCTTCAGTACTCAGATCTGAGGAAAAGGGAAACACACGGAACAAGTTAACATACTTAATAAAAGCAGCTAATCTCTCAAACTACCTTCCCCATTCATACGAAGAAAACAGTTTGTCAGGAATAAATCATCCCCTAAACAAGAAAAACCCATGTTAGAAACCACAAACTCTACAATCTGGACTCTCCTTCTCATCATTCCACATGGTGGGAGAGAGATTATGCTCCCGACAGTGGAGCAAGCTGGGAGTTTAACCCTCTTTGTATACAGATCTAGAACTATCTGCAGAAGCTTTTCAACTGGGCTTCACATTGGCAGCTGCCCCCAAACACTTGTCAGAGGATGGAAAGAGAAAGACACTCGTTACATAGAGGGGGCCCATTAACATTGCTGACAGGATAAATTGCCATGAACTGTATGTAGGTCATCATATCATAACACAAAAGAGCCAGATTCCTAGCCATATTGTGTCCATTTGATAACCTCTTTGTCGCGGTGAACTGGCACAAACTCAGTGGATCAGAGCAAAGGAGAGTCTCTGCATAGGGGGAATCTTCGATGACACAGGACTGGCATTTTGGTTTCTACACCACTCTGCTTCTGGCTGACGATTAGAGTCTATGGTTGTGATGCTGCTATTACCTGACTGATTCCCAGCTTAGGCCCTGGGCACCAGTCCTAAGTCAGAGCAGCCATCAGGCCTCCTTAAAGTCACCGTTGCTCTCCTTACTCCCAGACACCAAGCTAGCCTAAAATGTCTAAGTCTTTAAATGTAGGTGCCTATGTGTATGTATTCATGTATCAGACCTTACAATATGTGCCTAGAATTGTAGAAAAATTATTATATTCTGATGCGTTATTTGAGAAATATTACGTAAGACTACATTGTAATGCTATGCATAGGGACCAGAATGATGCTTCCAGATGTTGAAGTTACATACACAGCTACAAAAAGACCTGACAGCATCTAGGCCACTCATGCATTAATAAAACAGCCTATCATCCTGACCACTATTGTTTCATTGTTTCCTCCGTCTGTCGTCTCGTCTTATACTCAGATTGTAAGGTCTTTGGAACAGACCATATTTTTGTTCTGTGTTTGTACAGCACCTGGCACAATGGGGTCTTGGGCCTTGACCAGGGTTCGTAGGCTACAATACTTGTAAAAATATTTTATTAATTAACATTTCAGAGTTTTATAACTGAAAGGTTAGAGGAAACTAGAGATTCTCTATTTTTTTGCCATTTATTTATACTGGACATTTGACAGCACTTTGTGTATACAGACGCCCCCTGACTTACGCAATCATTCCGTTCCGGAAAGCCTTGCGTAACTCAAATTTTGCATAAGTCAGAAACGTATACCCCTAAGTTACGCAAAAGTTTCCGCAACTTGAAAATCTTATTTCTGGTTTATGGAACTTTTTCCGTAGGTGCGAATTTGCATAAGTCAGGTCTTGCGTAACCCGGGGAGCATCTGTAGTCTATTTCATAGTTTCTCCTGTACAGTTTCCCCATCTACTGTGAGAAATACTCACCCCAGCAGAAGAGGGAGGGGATGAAGACTTGACACATTACCAAAAAAAAAAAAAAAAAAAAGTGATAATAAAAGCACAAATATCGGCAAAGGAATTTGGGAGTAGGGATGGAATCAAACTACTTTTAATACATTTTTTGAAAGTGGTTAGATTTCAGGTAGACAGTCTCTCTAATACTATATATTATTGTAGCATCAGTGGTAGGCTGCTCTTTTCTAACATAAAGCAGAATATTCTTAAATGCTGCTGGTTAAATAAAATGTAATTTTTTTTTTGTTTGAAGTTGTTGTGTATATGATTACCCTATTGAATTCTCTAAAAATGACACATATTACATCTTTGTGTTACGCAAAGATGGCAACAGAAATATACCAATAAGATATTTAATACAATCTGTTATAATCTTTTGCATCTATGTCTTGTAATTAAAAAATTCACCTTTCGGTAGTGAGCTCTCACTGGATACTTCTTCCTGTACGTTTTCTTTTTGAGCATGTATTATATCTGAAACTAGGACCTCAACAGATGTATAGTTTTCTCCATATGTCTGCAGTTTCTGCTCCATAATGTTCTTAATCTCAGACAAACTGAAACCCATACGCATGGCATCCTGTACCAACTGGTTTTGTAGGAGATCATCATCTTTAACAAACATTGAGGGGAAAAAAATCAGTTTAACTAAGAGCAAATTAGAAATAGTCAACAGTGTTCACTGTAATTTTTTAAAGAACTTTATAACACTTAACCAAAAGTTAAACAATTAAATTTCTGACTGATGTTTTATATTTCACAGTGCAAAATCACCAAACAAGTAGGACGCCTCCCAGATTTGCTATATTCCCAACCCTTCCACTGGCCACCCTACTTATATTACAAAGACTCCTAGATTTTATCCATTCAGATCACTCACGGAAATTTTCACCATAACTTTTTACACAGAATGTTTCCTCACGTAGCAGTAATCAGATCTTACCACACTTGGATCCAAATTGTCTTTATAATTTAGCTTAAATCCCTAAGTACAGGTAATGTTTGTTTAATATACTTTTTTTCAATTTATAAAAAAATATAACCCACCCATACCCAGGCTATAAGCAACTTGCCAATTTATTAAGGTAACAAAACCAAAATGCAGTACAATCAATAGTACTGTAATGTGTGCCTCCCTGTCTTATCAGATACACACATAACAGGAAATTATTTTTCTACCATTATGCCTCCCCTTTCCTTCCCAGTGGAGTTCTTTGCATAGGTTTATTAGCAAGGCATCTGCTATTTCCACTCATTTTGACTACATTTAAGGGTTACTCAGTTCTTTTCCTTGGCAAAACTGCTTGCACTGGAACTAGAGCTCTCTCATATGTGAATATACTTACAGACACTTATCCCCCAGAATATTTCATAAATGTAGGTTATTGTGGAATCACTGCATAGCGATGGTAGATATCTTTTCCTACCAACTAAATATTTTTAAGTAGCTGTAAGATAATCCTGCTGCTATACTCATCACTATTTTCTCACCTTTTTGTTGTATGTTTATAAGAAAGAGTGCTGGAACCTCTCATACAGATATGAGACACAATTAGATTCTTATTTAAGTATTTTTGTGACAACATTTTCATTCAAGAAGAGACCCAAACAATTTCAGCATTCCCTGATAGTCTTCCTATAGTCTTAACAACTCAGTAATTGTAAAGTGTACTTACTGGCCATAAAGATATAGAGGTGTAACTAGACATTAAAATTTACTTCTACTGTGGTCTACACCCTTTAACACACACACACACACACACACACACACACACCCCCCCCCCCGTATTTGGCCACTCGCAAAACACTAGTTTTTTTCCCCCTAATAAGGTTAGAATTTATTCACTGATTTTTTTTACCTTCAGATTAATGAAGTGATAAATTTACACTCTGGCTCCCAAATTACATTATCTGTTCAGCAATTCATCCATGTGTTGTGCTTATTTAATTGTTCGGAAGCAAGGTCGTAAAAAAAGACCATAATTTAATGAGTTAGCTTCCTTTTTCTCTATAAAGCATAGCAGGGCCACCTTCAAAATTAGCCATTTCTTTCATTCTCCCCACAAACATAAACCACAACAACAGAACCTGGTGAGGAAGGCACACTAAGAACACATAAATGTAACTGTTTTACTGATACCTATAAGGAGCGATGTCTTCTCAGAAGATTCTATCTAAAACAGAAATATAAACGTAGATTAGGTCCCCTGCAACCAAAGAAAAATTTCTAAACAGTGGTAAGGAAAGGGTAAGAAAAAGGCTGTTGCTATTCATCAGGCTGACTGTGTGATCATGACTCAAATGAGATTCAATAGGAATCCAATCTTTTATTATTCATCTCCTTCAACAGGATTGGACATACATAAATAAATACCTAGTTCTTATACAGCACTTTTCATCAACCAACCTCAGAGCAGTTTATAAAGGAGGTCACTATCATAATCCCCATTTTACACATGAAGAAACTGAGGCACAGAGAGAGGAAGTAATTTGCCTAAGCAGCCAGTGGTGGCAGAACCAAACCATCCTGTCATAAATAATATGTACAAATCTCAAATCATCCTGTAATAAGCCATATGTATATGATCACTTCAACATTCATAAATGATCTTGAAAAAGGGGTCAACAGTGAGTTGGCAAAATTTGCAGATGATACAAAGTTACTCAAGATAGCTAAATCCAAAGCAGACTGTAAGGTGTTACAAAGGGATCTCACAAAACTGTGCAACAAAATGGCATTTATCAGTGTTGATAAATGTGAAGTAATGCATATTGGAAAATATAATCCCAACTATACATACAGAACAATGGGGTCTAAATTAGCTGTAACCACTCAAGAAAAAGATTGTGGAGTCATTGTGGCTAGTTCTCTGAAAACACCTGCTCAATGTGCAGCGGCAGTCAAAAAAGCTAACAGAATGTTAGGATCCATTAGGAAAGGGATAGCTAATAAGACAGTAAGTATCATAATGCCACTACATAAATCCATGGTATGCCCACACTTTTGAATATTGTATGCAGTTCTTGTCACCCCGTTTCAGAAAAGATACATTAGAATTGGAAAAGGTACAGAGAAGGGCAAAAAAATAATTAAAAAGATTAAGGATATCAAAAAGAGAGGGACTATTCAGCTTGAAAAAGAGACAACCAAGGGGGGAATATGATAGAGGTCTTTCACACCACTCATGATTTGACAGAAGTGCATAAGGAAGTGTTATTTACTCCTTCTGATAACACAAGAACTAGGGGTCACACAATGAAATTAATAGGCTGCAGGTTTAATACAAAGAAAAGGAAGTACTTCTTTACACAACAATCATCCTTGTAGAACCCATTGCCAGGTGATGTTGTGAAAAACAAGAGTATAACTGGGTTAAAAAAAAAAAAAAAAAAAAGATTAGAAAGCTCATGGAGAATAAGTCCATCAATGGCTATTAGCCAAGATGGTGAGGAATGGAACACCATGCTTTGGGTGTTTAGGTGTGTTTGCAGCAGCACCCTGCCACAATCAAGGGGGATAGATTGGGCCTGGCGATTGGCAACACCTGCTAGCCTGATAGGCAAGAGCTACAAAGGCTGGGAAGGAGCCAAAAGGAGGGAGGCAGCCAGAGAAGGAGGTGGTTACTGACCCAGCCTGCGGTAGGTGAGAAATCTGTAAGGACTGTATATAGTTGAACACTGGTGGTGGGAAAACACTTATAGAATAAAGGACACGGGTGTTGCATAAAGCTGACGTCTCCCTAGACATCCTTGCGGCCTGGGCCGCTTCCTGCGGCTCCGGGTCACGGGCTTTTTGCAGCCAGGGAAGGTTCCCAGAGGTGGGTCTGACATGGCTCCGGGAGCAGCCTCTGCAGGGGAAAAAGACGTCCTGTCCCTTCCCAACCTGGGCTAGGCCTAGCAGCCGGAGCTCGGCACATGGTAGGAAGCCCCGGCTGGGGTGCCCCCAGCCCTGCCCCTTTCCTACAATAGCCAGATTTCATGGGGAGAGATCAGATTTCACAGTCTATGATGCATTTTTCACAGCCATGAATTTGGTACTGCCCTAATCATATTGCTACACTGTAACTGAATCCCTTCCACTTCCTGTGGATGATCAAAGCAGTGTAAAAAACTATATACGATCACTAGATATATTCTGTATTTACATGATAAATTGATTTCACAAAAATTTGAAGTTATACTATGTTATCTGTAATTAAAAGTTATTTCTCTAGGGAAACCAAAATAGTAGATGGTGAAAAAAAAGACAACTTACTGTGGAATCCCTCGATAAAGGCGTTAACTGAACACTGTTTACAAATTCTTGTCCCTTCTCTTGTAGCAGATATTTGCATCTATAGTCAAAAAAGATTTTAATTACAAAAAGCATTGTACACATGGGAAAATAAAAAAAGCTGAATACACAATTTTCAAAACAATTTGGGTAATTCTGCATTTCAAAGAATATTTCTGCTCTTGAAGTTTTCTCTGAAAATGTAACTGAAATCATAGATGTCATTTAAACATTTTAAAAACATTCTGATAGTGAAAGGAAGTGAGCTTCATCAACAATGCTTATTTGTCACGGACTCAACAATTGGAATCCCAAAACTTTACATTCACTGATCATGGCAGCCACAATCACTGGTTTATAAAAGAAAAACAAACTTTGCAAACAAAGAAATACAATATAACTTTTAAATATCAACTCTTAACTTCTTTGTAAGCAATGAACCACAGTCATGGATAAACATATAATTTTCCTTAGCTGTTCTATCCCTCTTTTCAATATCTTCTATGCCACTCCAAGCACTTGGAAAAGACTCTCGGGGCCGATGATAGCCTGAAGTAGAGTATCCTGTACTGGTAGTGGTCTTAACCCAGAGTGAATCTGAGGAATAGTCTGAGAGTCGGTAGGATTGAGATATGAAAACAGGCGTCCTAAAGGTCGAGGGCCAAAAACAGTCTCCCTGTTCCAACGCTGGAATGATCATTGCGAGAGTGACCATCTTGAATTTTTGAGCTTTGACAAACATGTTGAGAGCTGAGGTCTAGTATGGGTCTCCAACCTCCCTTCCTCTTGGGTATTAGAAAACAGCAAGAGTAGAACCTTTGCCTCGTAGATGTTGAGGTACTGGTTCTATGGCTCCTAACCAGAGGAAACGATCTACCTCTTGTCATAGTAAACTCTCATGAGAAGGGTCCCTGAAGAGGGATGGGGAAGGGTGTTGTGGAGGGGGCAGGGAAGTAAAATGAAGAGAGTACCCATTACAATGTTATATACTTCCAGGTGCTGGGGAATGCTGCCAGCTGGTAGCCAAATGGATGGATAGCGTTGGTCAGCTGTAGCGGTTGGTGGGAGTGGTTTATTGACGCCTCAACCAACATGTCAAAATTGATGCTTGGACATGAACGGCTTGGATGAGGAAGATTGCGGGCCAGATGGTTTATGTCTCGAAAATTTCTCTTTTTTTCTGTGGCTCGCAGTAACGCTGAGCCGGATATTGTTATGTGAGTGGTTTGTGCTAGGGTGGTGGACTGAATTTTTTCTTTTGTCCTGGCATGTAGATGCCCAGCAAATGGAGTGTGGCCCTAGAATCCTTCAGGGTGTGAAGAGAGGCATGAGTCTTCTCCATGAAGAACTTTCAAAGGGAAGGTCTTCAATGGTTGATTGTATCTCCTTCAGGAAGCCCGACAGATGGAGCCATGACACATGTCGCATCACCACAGCCATGGATATGGACCTTGCCACTGAGTTGGATGTGTCGAGGGCAGATTGTAGTGTTGTCTTGGCCACTAACTTTCCCTCTTTCCATCTCCTTAAAATGGTTGTGGTGCGACTCAGGCAGCTGCTCAATAAAATCGCTCAGTTCCAAATCGGTTACGTAGTCTTGTTTCGCCATCAGAGCTTGGTAATTAGCTAGTCAAAATCAAAGCATAGCTGAGGAGTATGCCTTCCTCCCAAAAAAGTCTAAACACTTCCAGTTCTTATCGCTGAGAGTGGACCTCTATTGGTGTTGACAGCCACGGGAATTAATAAGGTGGGAGAAGAGTAATTCAGTCTCCCAGATGGTGTGGGTGGTCTGGCTTGTTGACCACCCTGCTAAATCTAATTGTGCATGGATTAACTCCAAGAGGTAACCTGTGTACTTAGTAGGCTGATACTGCTGATGAATGCAACATGTCCAGATCATTTTGAAGAAATTTCAGTATATCAACATTAAGCTCATGGGTCATCTGTCAAAAGAGTGAAAAACATTCCCCCAAATCCTAGCATCCTAACTGGATCTGGACTACCTGCAAGAGCATATTGTAGTTGTGATCTTTCCCAAAAGATATTTCTTCTACGGACCTGCATTTTCAAAGTTCGTAAAAAATTAAATACAAATCAAGTCCTGCGTCGACAGATCACTTGTTAGAAGGTGGATCAGCTCTTCTGTTGATATCTGTCAGTTCTGGGTACCAGGGCAATGTTGGTCAATTCTAGACACAAATGATGAACAATCTGGCTATTGTTTATAGCCCTGTGATGAGGCCTCCGCCCCACACTGGCATGTAAATTGTTAAGGGAGCCTGCACAGAAAGCAAGGGGCTGCAAGGAGCAGCCAAATAGGGCCTGGCATGCCCATATAAGAAGAGCAGCAGGGAAGAGCAGGTTCAGTTGCTCCCTGGAGCTCAAGGAGGGAGAACTGGCTGCCTTGCAGGCAGAAGAAAGCCAGCACCCTGGACAGAGCAGTGCTGCTAGTAGGGAAGAGCTCCTGGCTGGGAGTTGCAGACTGAGGCCCTGAGGCAAGGACAAAGAAGATACTGGAGCTGCGGGGAAGTGGCCCAGGGAAATAGATTGAGAGGTTGGAGGAGACGCAGCATGGGGCTGTTATTTACAAGGTTCCTGGGCTGGGACCCAGAGTAGTAGGTAGGCCTAGGTCCCTCCCACTCCCCACTGAGGAAGTGGCTGGACTGTTGGACTGTGGTACTGTCCCCAGGAAAGGGGGAGCACAGAGTGTGGCACAGCCAGAGGGCTGTGTCCTAAAGAGGATGCCATGGTCCTTGGAACAACACGGGTCCAGGACCATAAGTGACACGGGCGAGACACCACTGGGAGTCAAGCGTACCGACCTGTGGAGCTGATCCGCAAGACAACCAGCAGAAGGTGCTAGCATGGTGAGTCGCCCCCTGTAACAAGCACCTTACCTATCATGAGCCAGAAAGGAAAAATGTATTTGAACAATGGTCTGGGAACCAGGGGCGCAAAACAAAGAAAGCAGGAAGGAAAGCATAAGATTGACATATGGAGATAGATCCAATGAATAAAGGAATTCAACCTGAGTTAACTCCTCAATGACTCCATTGGGAAACAATCCTCTAAGGAATGAATTACTTTTCTAAAACCGGACTGGGTTGGTGTAAGAAAAAGAAATTGTTGAAAAGTCAAACTAAATTTTCTTCTATAACTGTGGGTACTGCCACTGATGATATTGTATGGGCTTATTCACTGAAGAAGCAGAGTGGTCTTCCTCCAATTAAGTCCAGGAGACTGGGGGCAAGCACGTTGAAGGAAGCAGTAGCGTTCAGCTCCGTATGTGCTCTGAGATGCAGAAGGATTTATCCTTGTTGAAGGATCCTCTCGTGACAAACTGTGGCCATTCTCCCCAGCAATATGATCTGAGCTGTATAAATCTATTCCTGGGAAGAGAGACAGAAACTGTAGCCTAGATAGTTTATGGTGAGGATGCCTGAAGTTCTTTCTATTTGCAGGAACTGTTGAAATCCCTGGTGCTCTAGTCTGATGAGGTGTCCCCCTTTGAAAGAAAAGGCTGAGAGGCTCTGATGTTTGGTAGACTAACCATTACTTCAAACCTTAGTGACTTTCTGATTGCTGTTGAGGCTGCCAGAGATCTAGAAGTCTTAAGTAGCATCACACAAGTGGCAGGACCGAAACTAGACAAGGTAACATCTGGATCCCTCTTTTTTTTTTTTTTTTTTTTTAAAAATCACCCAAACCTTTAATTCCCTAGGAGAAGGCTGAGGAGGAACCCACTGAAGGGGTCCACTTGGAGTGTGAAATTCTGGTGGCATGAGCATATTTCCTAGAATGTATGAATGACACAGCCATGCTGTATTACTGGGAGGTTTGGAGTGTTGGTACCTGGGACTGAGGCTCTGGCTACACTAGCACTTGTTAGCAAAACTTTTGTCGGTCAGGGGTGTGAAAAAACACACCTGACTGATATAAATTTCACCGACAAAAGCACCAGTGTAGACAGCGCTATGTCGGCAGGAGACACTCTCCTGCTGACATAGCTACCGCTGCTCGTTGAGGGTGGTTTAATTATGCTGGCGGCATAGAACAGTTACATGAGAGACCTTACAGCAGCGCAGCTGCAGCGGTACAGCTCCACCACTGTAAGGCCCGTAGCACAGACATAGCCGGAGAGACCACAATCTGTTAGTGTTTCACATGCTGCTGCAGAAGCTAAAAATCCTCCTACAGCTGCTCTGTTCTGTCTGTTGCAAAGGCTGCTGCACACCAGCGTTCAGGCCTATACCGCTTTCTCCTTTGGTCAGGCGTCTCTCCTCAGCCAGAATGAGCAGGATGCTCATAATGGAGATCAAAACAAGTGAACTCTGGAAGCCAGCAAATGGGGGATTACATCAACGTCTCAATGAACATTGGTCTATTTGCCAGCAGGGAAAAACTATATCCAAGCACATGGACAGGGACGAATGGAGAGAGAAATATATTTTATATTCTTCAAGACATCTTAAGAGGGCTTCATTTTCAGAATGAAAAAATAATGTGCTGTTTGAAAAAATAGGTCCCTTTAAGGTGTCATGTTGCCCACCAAAAAATTCGAACACCCAAAATCGCTACTCACTTTTGAAAAGCCTTTAGGCCTTTATTTTTAAGTGTAATTGTACTGCATAAACAGCAGTTTCTGTCTTCTCTTAAGACTTCTACATAACTCACTCCCAATAGAATATCACGGCTGCACATAATACTTATAAGCAAAGACTCTTCTCTACAAGAATATGCTGCAAGTGGAGTGGAGCAAATGGGCCTCACTACAGGGCACCTTGAAAGCCATGCTTCCTACTGATGAGAAGAAACACAGCCACCTACGAAGACTATTGCTGCTGCTGCTGTAAGAGAGGTGCCTCTCCACAACAAAGTTAGTGAGGACATGGAGGTGATGGTGAGAAGGGCATCTTAACCATTTCAAATTATTTGGATAAGCATCCAAACCACTGAATGCTTAGCCAAACTGAGCCTTTTGAGGTCATGTTGATACATTCTCCCTTTGTTGCAGATGCAACATACTGTAAATGTAAGTGTGCGCAACAATAAAGTAAAGAGTACCTTACCCTGGAAACCATTTAGCATGTTGCTCCCAAGGGTCTTCATTCTGCTGCCACTCTTGCAGTCCTCCACCACAGTGAAAGCACAAAACATGATCACCATTACCTAAGGGGACAAATAAGTGTGATGTTGTATACTTGTCAAATAAAAGGCTGAATATGCAAATATTTGTTCTTACAACTGAGAAAAAAAGCTTCAGGAAGTCTTGTTACTGATAAAAGCACCAAAAATGTGTCAATTTAATAATGAGTATCTAAGAATAAAAAGGATTATTTTAAACTAGATGTCAATGTAATTTGTGATAACATATGGTAAGAAAAACGAAGTAGCTTCTTGGACTATCTCCACTTTAATAAAAAATTACAAAACCAAGCTTACACAAATGCTGCTTTACTCAATTTTATTTGGCATTGGAAGCATTTCTGATCTCTATATTTGCTTACAAGTCTAATAACTTCTTGTGTGTTCAACTGTTAAGTAGGCTATAAAAACCACTACCACAAAGTTTCTAAAGCAAAAGCATTTGACACAATTTCTTCTATGTTTTTGATCAGTCTTCTCTGTATTAAGTCTCAGTTCCCCTTAAACAAGAATGGAATTAATTATCAGAAACCTAATTCACAAGGACATTTACTTATTTGCCTTTTTGGTCATTGGTTTCACCAGTCAAGCCTAATGGCTGTCAAGCCTAATGGGCTCTGAACAGCAGTGACAGAGACTAAGAGGATGTGGAAGGAAATTGAATTGTCCGAGCTCTAGCAGCACAGTGCACATTACAATCAATGACTACATCAGAAGCTGCTTACATATTAAGCGTATTGCAATGAGAGGAGATATGGATAGATTTCTCCCACTGAAATTAAGTCCTTCTCAGCCAATAGGAAGGACAAAGCTCTTGGAATTTACTCTAACAGTTAACCAGCTGGTTGGATAAGCTACCTATTTTGCATGTCTTCCCAATACAGATCCCATTTGGCTGTTGAGAAGCTAGATTTTTTTGGGATCCCACAGATGATATAAATAAGATGTCACCACTAGTTATGAATGTATTCATTTTGTGCAAGAATGTACAAGAAAATACCAAAAGTTTTATTCGGGGGCCAGAGGGGATAGGAAGGAATCAAGAGGAAACAAAATTAGAAAGTCAGTGCTCTAAGAGCACAAAAAAGAGAATCAAATATGGTGAGAAAGCTAGAAATTATCCTCGGTAATCCCTTTTCTTCCTGAACTAACAGTAGTACGGGGCAGTGTTCCATTCTTTCTAATATGATAAGATAACTTTTTAATGATACCAATCATTGTCTAAGAGCCAAAATCTGAACTGGCATACATCCTAAAATGGGCTTAAAAGACAAAGGTCACTACTTAAGATATTCCCTTTATTGAACGTTCTGCTACTAGAAAGGAGAATGATGTGACATTTCAGATTATGTGATCATTCAAAAAGAATGCTTGATATTTTGCACGCCATCTTATAATAATAAACCAGGAGAACATACTGTATTAGCTAGTCTTAACAACTAATTTGAGTTAAGTGAACGTAGAATTAAAAAGCATTTGAACACTCAGATGTTGAACGAATGTAAAGCCTTAAATAAAAGATTTGTTTTGGCAAGTCATTCAGTGTTAAATTAATAGAGATTCTGTTCAAAATCGCATCATGCACAAATTCTTCTGCAACAAAAAGACAGACGTGAAAGCCTCATCTAGCTTACCTATACTATAGAACCCAGCTTCAGCAAGTCGCTCTTTAACAACTGAGTATCTCCAAGTCACAAATGTCTTGAGCCGTGCTTCATATTCTGCCATAGATGGATTTCTTGGGTGATCTGCATTGTTTAAGCCACTCCTGCAAACCTCAGCAAAATTAGATTCATTTGGGACACTTCCAACATTTCCAACATCATGGCCCAGGACAAAAAAGCACCTAGGAAAATGCCTCTTATGTTCTGACCACGCTCGATCAAAAGGTTCCCAGTTTTTCAGTTTTCCACCACAACAAAAGCACTCCACTTGATCATCAACACCTGAGTAATACAGCCCAGCACTGGCTAACTCCTTCGGTGTTAATGGAGCATAGGCTGGCCAGTTGTGAAAAGACTTTAACCTAGCTTCTTCACTGCACATAGCAGGGTTCCTGGGGTACATACTATCTGACATGTCCACAACCTGCCCAGTTCTCAAAAGGTAATCTGGACTGAGATCAGATGATCTGTCAAAAGAGCACTGGAGGGTTGAATTTCCGGAACAATTTTCAACTCTGCATTGACAGTTTTGGAGAACAGGATGCATATCTTTTTTTAAAAAATTAAATCTAGCAATAAATTTGCATTTTGGGGAAATTTTTCTATGTCTTCCAACTGCTGAGTCTCCATGCTCCCACCCTTCAAAAGTTGCATGACAGCTGAAGCACTTCACTTTGTCTCCCTCTCCTGTATAAAAGAAGCCAGCTCGTGCTAGTGTTGATGCTGAAATAGGACAACAATTTGGAAAGTTGGCAAAAGTCCTCAGTCTGGAGTACTCTTCAGCCATCTCTTGGTCATGGTCACAATCTGGAGTGGCACAAGCTTCAGAGTTATCTGGACTGTTACACGTCATCTCTTCTTCAAGAGTGGAGCTCTTAGATTTCCTAAAAAACAAATGTTTTTTAATTTCATAGACAAAGCAAAAAAACAACAGATCAAACATACTCCTTATGCAACCCCTATGCGAACTGTGGGAATTAGTAGGATCAAAATATTCATCCTATTAATTAAGTAGTAAGGAAGAAAGACTTCTTTTTCTTTCTTTGTTAATAACAAGCACAGGAACATTCCAAAAGAAATTATATGAAGACAGACAAGGACTATTATCGTATATGAAGTTTTCTAGTAACACATGTTACGGATATCTCTTAATTGTCATCTGAACAAACAGTAAAAAGTTAACTGGAAAGCACATGTGAATAAAAAAAGTGTATAGACTAAGAACATCTTTTTTTTTATTAATAAGGTAGGGTTACCATATTTCCACAATCAAAAAAGAGGACACTGGGGGGGGAGGCGAGCCCCGCTCTAGCCCCGCCCCCATCCACTCCCTCCCACTTCCCACCCCCTGACTGCCCCCCTCAGAATCTCCAACCCCCCCCACTCCTTGTCCCCTGACTGCCCCTATCTAAGCCTCCCTGCTTCTTGTCCCCTGACTGCCCCCTCCTGAGAACCCCCCACCATAACTGCCCCCCTAGGACCCTACCTGTCCCCTGACTGCCCCGACCCTTATCCACACCCCCACCCCATATTCACACCCCCACCCCCAGACAGACCCCCGGGACTCCCACGCCCCATCCAACCCCCTCTGCTCCCTGCCAGCCTCGACCCCTCTCCATAGCCCCACCCCAACAGCTCCCCCAGAACCCCTGACCCATCCAATCCCCCTACTCTCTGTCCCTTGACTGCCCCCTCCAGAAACCTCCTGCCCCTTCTCCAGCCCCCTGGCCCCCTTACCCTGCCGCTCAGAACAGCATGTCGGGCTCCACGCGGAGCCCGACACGTGGCTGCGCTCCCCAGCGCAACACAACCCGGTCCCTGCCCCTGCACAGTGCTGCCGGAGCGGGGCGCTGGGCAGCAGGGGAGGGAGAGCAGGGGAGGGGGAGAAAAGGGGGAGGAGGAGCTGCCGAGGCCCGATGCGAACGGCCCGGCCGGCTGGCGATCTGAGAATGCAGGGAGGGAGGGGAGTAGCTCTACATTGGCCGGGCTGGACTCCGGCAGCTGATCTGAAGCTGCGGGGGAAGGGCTCTGGCTGCCAGAGCCCCATGCGAGCGGCTGAATTTCCTGCAGCCCTGCCGCGCTCTGCATGGGGGCGAAATCCCGGGCATTTGTAGCTATTTACAAATTCCCCCCGGATGCTATTTTTAACCCAAAAAGCCAGACATGTCCAGGAAAATCCAGACGAATGGTAACCCTAAATAAGGCAAACATTACAAGACTAGGTCTGATAAAAAAAATATAACAGGAATACAAGGGGCCTCACAAAAGATATGAACGAAAATCTAAGAAAAGGCCTCAAATCATGTTTGTACTTCCATACAATTACTGCTTTCCTGCATAGATTAACCCATGCCACACTCAATGTATTTTACTGCTCCAGTTTGGAAGGATCTATGTTCAAAATCAGCCTTTTATGTTACTCTTGTATAAGCAGCTTTACCTTTCTTTTTTAATTAAAAAAGTTCCCATCACACCAGCGCTGAAGTGTATACCATAAATAAATGTAAAATAAATTGGCAAATGTCAAAATAAAAACAATACCCTGGGATTTGAAATTTAACTGTGAAGAAATAAACCCCAATTTTCCTTCAGGTAAAGGCCTGAGCAAACAGACTTTACATTATTCACTGAAGGACAAACAAGACCAAGTTCTTTCATAACAATGAGAAAAGGCAATTCTAGTCCCAAGAGCCAGACTAAATGGACTCAAACTGAAGATATCCTGCCTCCTCTCCTCCCCTCCAAGATGATTAAATCAATGGACTGTAAAAGCTAGAGTTAATCCACTGATTTCAACTGTTGTGACAAGCGCCTGAAAATTAATATTTACTTTACTCTGTACAGTGTCTAAAGTTCAAAATACACCCATATAAAACAAAATACATTTGAAAAATGTTTATACATAAACTTATGTTTTGTTTCCTAGATATCCCAAACATTTCACATGTTCAGCCAATAGCCTGAATGTTGCCACATTGGTGCTGTGCTGATACTTAGTCAAGCCTTAAACTGCAAGCCTTTTTAATTCATCAATGAAACAGCCTGAACACTAGAGACTCCTGAGTGAAGTAAACACATTTATAGATGTTGTTTCAGTATAACAGTACTCAAATAATCAAGACCTTTGATACAATTTTTTTTTAAACTGGTGGTTTAAAGAAAAATTGGAGAGTTTGTTATAAGATGGGATATTTTGAGTATGGGAAAGTTTTTTGAAAAATTCTCAACTACATTTGCCCTTTCCATTATATTGTAGCTACAGACACAACGGAGCAGTCTAACAAAATATTTAACTTAGCAACCAACTTTTCCTGGTACTGCTTTTAATAATATTATATACATACTTATAAGAATAACCATACTGGGTCAGACCAATAGTCTATCTAGCCCAGTATCCTCTCTTCTGACAGTGGCCAATGCCAGGTGCTTCACAGGGAATTAACAGAACAGGGTAATTATCAAGTGATCCATCCTCTGTCGTCCACTCCCAGCTTCTAGCAGTCAGAGGCTAGGACCTCCAGAGCATGAGGTTGTATCCCTGACCATCGTGGCTAACAGCCATTGATGGACCTATCCTTCATGAACTTATCTAATTCTTTTTTTAACCCAATTATAGTTTTGGTCTTCACACTACCCCTGGCAAGGAGATCCACAAGTATTCAGAATTGCCAATCCTGAATATTCAAAAGCCATGAGACAGACTTAAAAACAAACCCTAGACTCAAAACCCCGTAGGCAAATGGTTTTAAAAACATTTCTATCTCATAATTTTTAAGCCATTCTCTGCAATCATGAAGACTAGAAATTTACACTTAAATATAAGGAGAGAGCTTCACAATTACATGACTCCAGAAGCTGGGAATTTAAGGAAGACACCAAATATTGCACAATTCATGATGAAATAACAAGATCCAGCAATACTGCATACATAATTCTAGGACAGTAGAATGTGGCCAGAAGAAATGGGTAAGGGTTCCACTATAGAGGTATAGGGTTTTTAGAGGTCCTGAACAAAACATGAACTTTTATTTTTATTACTACGGTCATATTATTTTCTTTTATTATGGATTTCACCGAAAACATTAATCGATTTGCTGAAAAAGAAAAAAAAAACTGAAAAAAATGAAGTTTAAATTTCCACCAGTTTTTCCTCTTACCGTGCATACACAAAGAAAAGCTTAAGAGTAGTGGACACAACTGAGCCCTAGTATACCCTACAAACTTATGTAGGTATAACTACGTCACTCAGGGGTGTGGACACAGTTATAGCAACCGAATTCCGAGCGTAGACAGCACTATGTCAATGGGAGGGCTTCTCCTGTCAACACAGCTACCACCTTTGAGGGAGGTGGAGTAACTACACTGACAAGAGAAGGTCTCCCATCGGCGTAGGTAGCCGCTGCAGCACTAAGTGTAGAGAAGCCCTGAGTAACCAACCCCAATCAGCAAGAAATAAGAGCACAGAGGCAAGTGGGGGTGGGGCCTTGCCTGAAGACCACCCTCACTCAAGTGCTTGTGGGCTCTCAGACTGCATCTGCAGAGGAGATCACTATGGGTATCACTACAGCTGTGCTGCTCTAGTGCCATAGTGTAGATACTTCCTATATCGACAGAAGGGCCTTTTCATCAATGTAGGTAATCCACCTCTCAGAGACAGTAACTAGGTCAATGGAAGAATTCTTCTCTCAACCTAGCTGCATCTACACAGGGAGTTAGGCAGACCTAACTGCGATGCACAGGTCATTAATTTTCCACAGCCCTGAGTGACGTAGGTAGGTACATCTCGCCATGACTATGTCTACTTAGGAGTCGGAAGGTGTAATTTCTGGCATGAGTAGACAGACCCACTCTAGCTCAGAGCTGGTGAGGATATGTGGACTTGAGCTAGAAATTACACCTCAAGTTCCAGTGTAGACATATCTTAAGACCAATGGGAGAGGGCGGAGAAAAATAAAAACTAAAACCAAAGGGGTTTAGGAGAAAGGGATTATCACTCTGTGCTATCTTTTCCATCATTTCAATAGTCTTGTTTGTAGGGCAAGTTATTTCAATGGTGTGAGGTAGACCAGGACACTCAGAAAAGCGAAAGAAGAATCAAGACTTTAGGAGAAAAAAAGACAACTCAATCCTTTCCTACCCCGCTTTGGGATTTTTTTGGGGGGGAAAAGGGGAGAAGGGGGAGAGAGGTATTATAAATTGAGCTTTTTCTATTTAATACACTTCTGAATGGTTTAATCCTCAAGGGAGGCAGGCGGTAGCTATGCTACTTATTCTAGAACAGGACTCCTCAAGAGGTTGCCTACTGGGATGCATACTTCAATCTTAGATTCTGAGCCCCTAAGGAACACTGTAGCCCTCTTCAGTTTCTTTCCCTTCCCCACTGGCATTTAGCTCAAGGCATTTAGCATGGAGTAAAATCTCAAGATTCAAGAGCAACACTTCTAGATCCAGAATCTTTTCAACCAGCACTGTCACTGGAGTTGAGAGAAGTATGGAGGGTAGGGAGAAAGAAGCCCTCTAAACCCACAAACCAGCCTGCGACGGTGTTGGGACTCACCACCGCTGGCGCCTCCTGCTGGTCGCTCCGGGCATTAGCTCAGTCCATGGGAAGCGCCCTCTCCTGGTGGCGTCCCATCCACCTCTCGCCCTTCATTGACGCCTGGACCCGCGTTGCTCCCTTCTGCTTGCGGCGTCCCCTTCAGGACACTGCCCTCCGGCAGTGCCCCATGTCCATTCTCACCCCCTTCCGGGGGGCGGGGGGGCTAACAGCAGTCTTTCACCTGCCACAGTGGCCAGCTGCTCCCAAAGTCTAACCCCTTCCCTCAGGGGTATGGTGCAGTCCAATATGGCCACTTCCCACAGCCAGTTGCAATATAAGGAAGAA